TTTGTAGCTCCCGTGATTTAACCCCCAAAGAGGGGGTTACCCTTAGAATTTTATATGGGAAGGGGGGCACACCATTTTGATTGGCGTTCAATTTTGCTTCCAATGGTACCCTGACTTTTTATTTTTTGATGAGCATTTTTCGAAAAATAGCGTTCTGAACTTACAGAAGTAATTATTAGTATGCCTATACTGAGATGTAGACCGTTCCAACTTTTTATTAGGGGTAACATTAGCCATAAGTTCCAATTTATTTGCATAAAAAACAGTCTGAGATAGTAAAACGTAGATGGTGGAAAAAAATGTATAGATAACCGTCCTTTTTTGCTACTTCTGCTGTAAAAAGTTTCAGTTTTCAGGCAAAAAATTGGTTCGCAAATTTGAACGATGTAGTAGTATTGTGCATACAGTTGTACCTGTTGTGCTGTTTGATGATCACTTTGATAAATGTATGGAAGTGTAAAAATTACTTACACTCTTTAAGACAGAATTGAAATGATTATAATTTATAGAGATACTGGAAAGTGCGCGCGAAGGTCGGCATGTAAAACATCCAAATTGTCACCGGTATGTGGTTGATTTGGTAAATAAGTTTCACGAAACAGGTTCAGTGACAAATAAAAAAGGGATATAGCATATAACCTCAAAATGAAACAGCTCAAATTGAAGTTTTGGAAACATTTGCTGCAGAGCCCACGAGCTTCTCACGATCAGAACAGACGGGAATGTCACGTGAGGCTGTAAGAAAAGCATTGAAAATGTTTCATCCTTATAAAATGCAGATTCTTCAAGAGCTCCACGAGTATGATTATGATAGAAGGATAGAGTTTTGTGAACTTATGTCTCATCGAGTCAATACCATCCCTAATCTTCAGTTAAACATCTGTTTCAGCGATAAATGTTCATTTTTTCTGAATAGTACTCCAACAGCGACAATTTTGTCGCTATTGGAATGCCAAAAATCCACATACTTTTTGGGAATGGCATACACAACACCTACAAATGTTCATAAATGGAATGGACTGGTATTCTTGGAAATGCCATTATTGTCCATTATTTCTGGAAGAAAACTTGACTGGCAATCTGTATCTTGAAATGCTTGACGAGACTATCAATACCCTTATAACTCACGACCTGTCCGACAGTGGTTGAACGAGAGATTCACGTATAGATGGATTGGCAGAAAAAAAAAGCAAGCGATTTATTTCCAACAGGAGTACCCAGTTACAGGAAATGCTATTATTACAGAGTATATATGATATAAATATTAAAAATAATGGAATATAGAAATATATGGAAGTAAATGATAAAATTATGGAATATAGAAATGTATAAAAGTAAATGCTAAAACAAAGTATATATAAAATATTCGTATAAGTAGAATTTCAAAAGAGAAATGAAAAATTGAGTATATATACAAAAAGTTATCATGCAATGTAGCAGTACTGACACAAATGCTATTTATAGTATTATTAAAAGTGATTGTGGATACAAGATACCAAGGCGTTCAGAGAGTCGAAATGAATATCGCAGTGTTCACATGTTTTATTGAAGCTACTGCACATAAAATTCAATGGTGATCGTAACATTTGTGCGTGATGCTTCGCAATAGAATTTCAGATTGTGTCGACCTTCACTTCTTGGTACTGAGAAATTGATCTCGGGTAAAAGAACCGTACTGTCAATATTGTTGTTTAGTAATTCATTCAGGAATTTGATACCAAGGATAACTCTCCTATTTTCCAAAGATATCATATCAAATCGTGTCAACAAAATGTTATGATTGATGCCTCTCGTGAGGTATTGACCATCAACTTTTGGACATAAGTGTTTTAAGAACTTCCTTTGCACGCTCTCAATTGATGTTTTTTGGTAGTCATGAACTGGATTCCATAACAGAGAGCCATATTCTAACTTAGATCTGGAAGACGCATAGTATAGCAAATTTCAGGTGGCAATACTTTTGAAGTTTTTGCCATTTCTTTAAATGACTCCAAGCATCCCATTTGCATCCGCAGTCAAATTCTTTATACATGTTGTAAATGTTAATTTACTGTCGTATGTTATACGTTATGTTATTTCATGTACGCGGTTGATTGTAGTTTTGTTGATTGAATAATCGTATATTGAAGTTCGCTATCTTGTTGTAATTTGTAATTTGAAAACGTTCAGTTGTAGATGATTATTATCACATCACACCAAAGTTTGATTGCATCTAATTCACGTTGTACACGTTGGCAGTTAGTAATGTCGTCGATTTTATAATATAGTTTCAGGTCATCTGCAAATAGTGGGCTGGGAATATTCAAAGAGGTTACCAAGTCATTAATAAAAATAAAAAATAAAAGAGGTCCGAGATTAGCACTTGTGGTACCCCAGATGTAACTACGTACTGGGCCGATTTGAAAGATTCATATTCGACGAACTGTTTTCTGTTAACTAGATATAATTCAATTCGAGTAAGCAGTTGGTTAGGGAGCCCCAATTTTGTCAATTTGCTGAGAAGAACGTGATAGTCTATTTTATCGAAGAACATAATGGTATATTTTATCGAAGGCTTTTTGGGAGTCTAAATAAACAACATCGACTTGTTTTTGCTTGTCCAGGTACGTACACAGATATTGATTTAAATATGCAAGATTTGTCATACATGATCTTTGTTGTACAAAACCATGCTGAATAGGAGGAATAACTTTTTGAATATGGAAGTACATAACATTTTGCACACATATCTCGAAGTAGAAAAGTTACATAAAATTGAAATTGCCCTGTAGTTTGTGGTATCGCTAGAGTCGCCTTTTTTAATATCGGACAAATTCAAACCGTTTTCCACTGCTCAGGGAAGGCACAAGTTGATAAAAAAAAGTTGAATATACCTATTAGAGGTATAGACAGAACTTCGATACAGTCCTTTATCACAAGACTAGGAACATTGTCAACGCCTGCGGTTAGTTTATTTCTTGATTTTTTTTGAAGCAGTAATAATATCGATTTTATAGAAGGCGGGGATGTTTAATGTATCTAAATCAGAATCATGAGAATTTCCACGAAGCATATTCTCGTCCAAGAATATACACTTCTCAAGTACTTGGCGAATCCATTGACAATATCCCCAGGCTTATCAAATACCTCATCATCAAGTTTCATTATACCCGGTATACGCGAATGACCTTTTTTACTGTGTATGAAAGACCAGAAAGTCGAACAGTCAGATAAAATATTATTTTCAGCTGAGTTTGTAAATTGACTATATGCTGCTTTTATTTATATTTTTGACAGATTTTCTCAGATCCAAGAATTTATTTTGATAAAGTGCTGTTTTGAAGAGCAGAAAAGGAGCAGTTGAATGGCCTTTGAGTTCACCGCATTTAACAATCTTACATTTCTTTCTTTGGGAGCATCTTAAATCCGTTGTTTATGAAACATGACCTTCTAATATTGAAGAACTTGAAAGATGAATTACAATAACATGCAAGTCAATTCCTGTTGAAGTTTTCCGTAATGTTAGAGGTGAGTTCTAAAACAGGAGTAATTGCTGTTTAGAGCAAAATTGACGACGTTTAGAACAGTTTATAAGATGAGCGTGAGTAGATTTTATGTTCGGAATGTCTTTCTCGAAAATTAAATTTTATTTTGTAGAGGGACAATAACCAATAAATGAAAAATCCCACACATAAAACATTTATTTTTGTCATTCAAGGGTTGGTACGGTGCCACCTAAATTTCTAATCATTTCCATCAAGAGAAGTCAATGCATAAATGCATCTCAAAACAGGCAAATTCTAATTACATGTGTAAGTTGAGAACGCTATTTTTCGGAAACTACTCATAATAAAATGAAACATCAGGGTATTATTGGAAGCAGAATTGAACGTCAATCGAAAGAATGTATCACTTGATACCCCTTCCCATTTAAGATTCTAAGGGTAACAACTACCCCTCCTTGGCGGTTGAACCAAGAGTGCTACAAATATTCCTTGAAATAGTCTCCCTTGACTATAAAATCGACCTGTTGTTTCGATTCCTCATATTATTTACTGGAAGGTAGATATTAAGGGTGGAAAGTTTTCAAATTGACACCCTGTATATTGAAACTCCAAAGCAAGATCTTACATAAACACATGCTCCATTATGAACCCTCCAATTATGCACTATTCAATCTGATTCAATTCACGGCCAACATATTTTTTGCAGGTAATTGGCCGTTCGGTTTCATCTGGTGTAACGTTTACGTCACGTGCGACGTTTTGGCCTGTTCGGCGTCCATCATGCACATGTGCTTCATCAGTCTGGGCCGCTATCTCGGCATCAGAAACCCCCTGAAGACGAGGCATAGCACGACGACGAGAACGGTAGTGTTGAGGATAGCTTTGGTATGGTTGTTGTCCATGCTCGTGTCCAGCTCAATTACAGTATTAGGTGAGTTATATTTCCAATCAAGATACATAGTTATTTCTATCAATTAAAAAAGAAACTCTTTTGGATGAACGTTCACCTGAATTGAAAATTTCTGATGCAGTGTTTGGAACCTTTGGTTCAGTAATAAATATTACTGGAGTTTTATCCCAAAACCAAACCATTATTTTAACACTTCGACACGTGTTTCAATCACCAACTAAACAAGTGATCAAGATTTAACATAAGTTTAATTTTCCTCTTGAAGATGATCAAGAATGAACTCAAGTTCAATTTTCCTCTTGAAGATGATCAAGATTGAACTTAAGTTTAATCTTCCTCTTGAAATTGATCACTTGATGATCAAAACACGTGTTGAGGTATTGAAATAACGGTTTGTTGTTGGGATTGAAGTCCATTAATAAACTAAAGATAATATTGTATTCAATATTATTTCGATATCCTCTTGAAAAAACATGATACTCAAAAAGGGTTGATTACTTGAATTCATTCCACTCTGGAATTTCGTTCTGAACGTTTTGCTGGAAAGTTCAAAACAATAAATTTTCTCCTCGATTGGCATTAGAAGTCAATTGTAATGATCATAGAAGTGACATGTTTTATTCCTAGGTATTGATCATGATTTTTATATGGCATTACAAAAACATCCTCATTCTTTCTTTCAGTTGAAAATGATTTTCCTAATAACTAGGAATATTCATTTGTATCGAGAGAATCAATTATTTCAATACTCACAAAAGCTACGCTAGTTATTGAAAACTGTTGAAAACTTTTAATTACATTCACGCTTATGAGAAAAACGGAAACAAGAGAAGCTAGAAATTCAGGTCAAATTCATTCAGTATTTGAAATCATTAGGTGGCTGTGAAAGATGCAAATAGTTACTAATTTCGTTAAGGAAATGAAAATCCGATATTGAGCCAACAAAATTCGGAATGGATTTTTTATAGACCAGATATAACCACTGTCATTAAATTATATTTTCATACATCATATTACTGAAGCTTCAAGATGATATTTTGAATATTATGGTCAATGTGAATAACACCAGAACATAAAATACGGTGTCTCGTCGTGCGTTTCGCGTTAGTGTTTTTATATGCTGTTTTTATATACCTGTTAATATTACCTAATTACTACCTAGTATTGGTCCTATGCAATACCTGTTTTCAATACCTCTAATTTGTTTTTTATTTTGAATTATTACATATAAGACCAAACAAAGATCTGTTCGAAATAGGACCTTTGTTGCTATTCGTAGAACTCAAATCGCCCTTTTGATTTCCAGGCATCCAGAAACCTGTTGTCATGTACCGGTCTCAACAATTTTAAACATTTCTCACTTATTTTATGGTTGCTTTCTATGGCATGTTGAGCGACACTAGATTTCCTTGGTATGTGAAAACGAACATGCGAAATATGTTCCTTGTAGCAAGCTAATATAGTCCGTTTGGTTTGACCAACATATTTCTTATCACAATTCTCGCAGCTTATTTCGCAAGTAATACTAACCGGTGTAGTTAGCTAATACTACCAGGTAGTAATTAGGCCACATGCATATAAAAACACTAATATAGTAGGGAAATTTTGGTCTGATGTTTGGAAAGGGGTTTTCAATACATTCATTTTACGCCTGAGGTTCTAGTATGAACTATCAACAATTGCCTGCACCAGAATTTTAGAAAAGTTGGATTTAAAAATTCTTATGTAATCCTGATTTTTTGAAAATACTTTTCTCACACCAGAACAAGGTTTCGCTAACCAGTGTTTTGAATAGGGCCAGAAATATACTTAAAAGATTGATCCCACTTGACTATAGTTCAATATAAGACAAAATTATTCATAAGGCACTTGCAACTATGTAGAGCTTCTCTGTATTTGAACAGAACTTTCTTTATTCCCGTGGAAATGAGAATCGGAGTTTCGCAAGGCTCAATATTGGGCCCTTTACTGTTACATTTATACTCTAGTCTTCCCTATAAAATTTGGGACAATATACGAGTATATCACTCTTTTCTAGACACATTATCATAATTATCATCGTCTCCTTTCAGGTATCATAAATCACGAAAACATAATGCCCGAATCGGGCTCCTGCGTCATCAACAATCGAGCGTTCTTCGTGTTCGGCTCGCTCATAGCCTTTTATGTGCCGATGGTCATCATGGTGGTGACCTACGCTCTTACGGTTCAGCTGCTTAGGAAGAAGGCGCGTTTTGCCGCCGAACATCCGGAGAGCGAGCAGTTCCGCAGATTGGGTGGTAGGTTCGCTCAGAAACACGATAGGACGCCCACTATTTCGGGGACGCTGTGGAGGAACGCGGGGAGTGGCGAGAGGTGAGTGAAGACTATGTATATGAGGCGTTCCAACGAAAACTTGACCGCATCGAAAATTTCAAAGAACACGTCTTTTATTTCTAGGGGGACTAATGCTGATATGGAAATCATACCCGAAACTTCACCTCCTTGCGGTCAGCAACTATCCCCCTATTTTTTTCAATGTCATGGGAGGTCGAGTGATACATCATTTGAAAGGTCTTTTGTCCCTCTATTATTTCTGTATTTTTTTTTCGAAGTTGGTTCATTCATTATTGAGAAATTTAATGTTGAACGTTTTATTTAAGTAAAAACAGAAACGTCGCTGTCGCTCATTTTATTGAGAAAATCAACGAAAGTAATATCAATGGCAACACAATCAACGCATGAAGTATTCAAATGGCCTCCATCTAGTTCCATACAATAATACAGTCTACTTTTGAAAGCGTTCCCCACATTATTAAAGATGTCCGGAGTCAGAAATCGGCATTCTCGAAAAGTTCTCTGTCGCAGGTCTTCTGTTTAACATATTGATGGCTGACGTTGTGGTCTGGATGATTTTTATTACAAATTCTTTCAGCAGCTTTAGCACATTCATCATTTCGATAATAGGTTGCAACAATTTCTAGCGTTTCTCCAGTAGAATCTCCATCTTCAATAATGTTGGGAACGTTTTCGAAAGTATGTATAAAACGATAATGAATATACTAACTTGATATATTTATTCATGAGTACTTTTTTCAGAAGAGAGACTTCATGACAAACCAAGCAAGCATGTTATCACTCTGACATTTTTGTCCAGTATTAGATTATACAAAAACACACAAATTACTCTTATATACGTATAACAAAAATCACAGCTCTGTGAACAATGTGTGACTAAAATTATGTTCAGCCCTGAATCTCATTTCTAGCTGAATTATTTGGACTGTATTATTGTATGAAACTTAGATGGAGGTCATTTTGAACACTTGATCCATTGATTGTGTTACCATTGATAGCACTTTTGTTGAATTACTCAATAAAATGAGCGACAGCGAATTTTATGTTTTTTCTTGAATAAAACGTCCAACATTCAATTTCTCAATAATGAATGAACCAATTTCTAAAAAAACCCAAAAGTAATAGAGGGACTGAAGATTTTTCAAGTGATGTATCACTTGACCCCCCTCCCATGCCATTGAAAAAAAATAGACGGGTAGTTGCTGACCGCAGCGGGGTGAAGTTTCGGGTATGATTTCCATATCAGAATCAGTTTCCATAGAAATGAAAATTGACGTTCTCTTTGAAATTTCCGATTACACCCCCGTTTCTGACTTACAGGGGGGGTCAAGTTTTCATTGGAACGTCCTGTATAATAAAGTTAATAAAATCTGAAATGTTCAAAACAGATCTTGTTGAACATTTTTGTTGCGAAGGAATGAAATGATTAGGCGAGTAATGTTCTATCTGAATATATTATGGAATTAGCCAATACTTGATACAAACGCTCGAAGAAGCTATTGTATAGCGAAACTAGTGTTGCGGTTTTGTGAACAAGTGTTACTTGAATATACTACCTGAATGTATATCTTTACCTCAGGTCATACGCGACTCCCAGAGAAAAACATGTTTAAATTGACAACTGTTACTCATAATTGTATGGCAAAGATCTATAAATTCCACGAAACTTCATTGTGGGACCTTTTATCATCAAACTTTTTATTAATGATAAATATGATATCCCAAATTATGTTCGCAAAGTCTCGCAAAGTTTTTGAGGAACTTGTATTGTCGTTTGAATTCACAAACTGATGTAGAACCACCAAAAAATCAAAGAAATTGTGGTTGAGGTAGAAACTGAGAACATTCCATCATCAAATAGTACCAAGTTTGTTAGAAAGTGCTTGATAATGTTTCGTGGTGCATTAGTTCGGACTTCCCGATATAAATTGATTTGAAATCCCTTAAAAACCCGTAAAAAATTGAAAGGATTTGCTGAAAAATAACATTTATATCAAGCAAAAAACTAAAATTGAATGAAATAAAATACGAGCAACAAAAAAATATAACAAAAAAAAAGTTGGACTATTACCACGAGATGAAAATCAAAAATTTATTAACAAGGAATGAAAATTCAAAATTGAGAAATTCCAAACCAAGTTACTTCACGACGTTTCGATTTATAGTATCCACAACCATCTTCGGGTGATAACTAGACTTATTTCTCCAAAATCTGACTATCTGTAGGTCATTCGAGTGCTAAATGCGTTGTTGGACAGCATATATGCTGCTTCTTTGAATTTTATCCTAAACCAGTTTTTCTCCTTGTGGATGATTTCAGCTTGAGCCCACTTGATGTTATTTCGATGAGTCCAAATATGCTATTCCTGATTTGCTGGGTTTCTCCTCGCTGTGTATGTTTCTCGTGCTCGGCAATGCGAACTTTCAATGACCTCTTACTTTCACCGATATATGATTCTCCGCACTCACAGGGTATACAGTAAATGCAATTCTTGGAATCGCAGTTCGCGTTTGGTGGCCTGGTTTTTGTGCTGCTGCTACGGATAGTATTCCCAGATCTGATGGCATACTTGGACCCCATTCTTCTTATCCTTTTCGACAATCCTCTGATGTAGGAAAATGCAATTACTGGTTGTGGTGGCTTCTCTTCCTTGTGAGGCTCCTGATGTCTTCCAACCAAAGTTTCATCTGCTATCATTTTGGAGTAACCATTCCGTTGAAAATCATTCGTGATGATGCCTACTTCCGTTTCGAGACCCTCCTTTGTATTACAGAGCCCGAATGCACAGTCTACTGGAGTCTCGATTATTCCTATTTTAGTCGATTGATGGTAGTTGGATTCCTGGTTCAGATACTGTCCCGTGTGAGTGGGTTTTCGTTATACAGATGTTCCCCATTCAGGGTCGGTCTTTTTCACCAATACGATTAGGAATGGCAATTCGTTGTGGACTTCCTTCTCCATTGTGAAATTGATGGAAGAACTTACGTTGTTGATGTGCTTCAGGAAGGTGTCTAGTTCTGCATTCTCATGGTCCCATATTATGAAGGTGTCGTCCACGTATCTCAACCAGACTAGGGGATTCTTGTGGGCTTCTCCAATGGCCAGAGTTTCAAACCACTCCATATATATGTTGGCTATAACCGGTGAAAGTGGCGATCCCATCGGCAGTCCCTCATCTTGCGTAAATAATTCGTCCTTCAGTTGGAAGTAGCAGTTTCGTACAACAATCTGTTCATGAATGGAAAAGTAATGACAATTCTAAAATGCACATAAAAAATTGTTCAACATGTTTCATTTGATTTGGCTGAAAGTTTGATTGACTACATTCATTCGAGAAACACTTCGTTGTGAGATTTTCACTAAGCAGTTTTATAAAAACGCAACACGTGTGTCGCCATACAGTGGCTTATTTTCTTATTTTTTTCGGAATTCAATAAACTATCAGATTTCATGAAATCTACATTCTCGTTGAATATGTTGAAAAGTGTCAATTACGAAGAAGCATTTTTGCAGGTGTTTTTTTAACCAAATGTTAGGTTGTATGACTTTGAATATGTATGCCTAGGATGGCAATAATGAAATTATTTAGTGAATTGAAATAACGAAATTACTTGGAAAGTATACCTCATCTCATCTCCTACAACAATAAACGTTATTATATTTAGCTGGCAATTGAACGATAAATTACATAATAGTCGTAACAAATAGCAATTAACTGACATTACAAAATAAACAAGATATTATAAAACTGTTGATCTGATTCCACCATTTGGCAAAGAAAATTAGGGAATAAATCTTTTGGAATGTAGTGAATCACTTGATGAATGAAGTATTGAATAAAACTTGAATTGAAAACTAATAACCGACTGATGAAAATAAGATGTTTTGCTTGACTTTTCAGTGAAAGGAGTTTATTTACTTTGTATTCTTCAATACAGATTGAACGAGTATCAGCAGAAGTTTCATCTGGATTCGAGTAGTACGATGAGAATGATACATATATATTTATGGATTCTACTTTCGTGTTACCACTATCCTAGAAAAATCATAACATTGAAGCTCAGCTGGAGAAGAAAGCCTTTTCATTCAGTTCAAAATATTTGGAAATGGTTGCTTCTTTATCATTATGTAAAGCTCTTCTTCTCTCCAAAATGCTCATTCTGTGTTAATACAATTCACACTTCACAATCAGTCCATCTAGTTTCTCATTCATTTTCCGAAAACATGTGTGTATGACAGAATATTACTGGATGAAGTCTGTGAAGTCATCAGGAATTCGAACCTCCTTCTCTGTATGGTACGAAACCATAAGAGAGCAGGGAATGTAATATTTCTCTTTATAGCAGCAGTCTGAGCGGCTGATGATTTGGTTCAGTTTTCGACACTGAATGAGGTGACCACTACTTTGTCACCGAGTAGCATCCAGCAAAAAACACAAATGAAAGTCGTAGAGATCACTGCAATCCTACGGCAACACAAGGATAAGCGGATCGTGTTCACCATCATTGAAGACCTCGGTTAATTAAAGCACCTCAGCTCAAGTAGAGAACTGAGGGGTTCATCATGGCCTTTCAACTGTCTTCAACATTTTAGTCTACCGCAGTCGGATATAGAGGTTGATGACTGGAATCCTACCGCACTTGCTGTCCAGTATGTACGATGTCAGAATATATCAACAGACTTAACGCGGTCCTAATAGATCTTCATTTCCAAGTACGGCTCTTTTACGGTATTGCCGAGACACCGGCGAATATTGAATTCGTTGTGGGAAAATAGAAGTGTCCAATTCATTGGAACTATTCATTTCTGACTCTCGAGCTCATATAAGCTGATGAATCTCAGGTAGTTCTTCTTGACCACAGCAAGACAATATTGGTGACGCTTCGAGTGAGACGAATATAGTCCGAAAGGAGGAGAGAAAGCAGATAAAATATCAAGAATTTTTCTTCGCAGACACTATCCCGACGACTCTGTTATAATTATTAGAGTCCTTGGTGAAGACATGCACTTTTTACTG